TCTGTCATCTGGAGAGCAGTTTCATTTCGGGTGATTGCCAGCCCCCACCTGGACATTAGCAATCCTAGTTCGCCTGGAGGAAATGGCTGCTTTGGAGGGCGGAGTTTATGGCACTTCATCCCTCTGAGGTCCCTCCCCTCCTCAAACCACACCTCCCCAGCCCCCCCCATTCTTAGGAATTACCTTACCTTTTCCCCTCCTCTTGGCAATTCCCATATCCTCTCCCTACCTCATTATTTCCTTCTCAGCCATTCACCAACCACCTTTTATCCACCTCCCATCTTCAGCTATATTTATTCTTTATCTACCACACATTTCTCCACAGTGGGGACCAAAGCAGCTTACATTGTTCTCTTTTCCTTCTTTTTATCCACACAACAACACTGTGAGGTAGCTTAAGCTAAAAGTATGTGCCATTAGGCACAAGGGACTCACTGAATGTATTCCTGAGATTTGTGTATCATATACATGCATCATAAATACACCTATATAAATAAATTTGCCTTACCTGGATAATTTTTTGTGTCCTATATTTTTATTTGTGGCTTGGAGGGCATTCAGTCATGTTGTATACATGGTGGACAGTAATGAATTAAAGGTTAAGAATCACTGTTGAGAGCCATCTCTCACCTTATTATGAAAATGAATGCAAACTTAATGGCCAAGTCTTTCATCATTAACTACAAAAAGCAAAAGATAGGGTAGCAGAATCAAAGCTTTGTGAGAGATGGCTTGTGCATGTAGCCTTTTATACAGCAACCCCCGTCTCAAATTGCTAACCAAGCCTACAAGACCAAAATAGCTGGAGCTATGAAGTGAAATAATGCTACTTAAAAAAACACTTTTGAGAATTGAACTGAAGCACAGGTATTTTATCAGTTTGCTACCATCTTCTGTACTACACTAATTTTCGTGGCATGAGTCCATCAGCCTGACAAAAATCAAAGGTTCTGCTTATGGGGTCATGGCCAGAAATGTTACTTTGATAAATAATTATGGAATCACATTTAGGGATGGGCACGAATCAGGAAAATAGAAGTTCATTCCAGTTCATGGTTCGTGGGGTCTGATGACCTGTGAGCTAGAGATGCCAAATTCACAGCTGACTCACCTCTACCTGCCCTCCAGGTTTGGTGATGATAGGATTTAGGGGGGCTGAGTTACAGTCCCCTAGAGCAGGTGCCCCCAGGAAAGTGCCCCCAGGTGCCCCCAGGAAAGTGCTCTCTGGGGAGATCACAACCACAGGTTCAGGAGTGTGTCAAAGGGACCCCCGGCAAGCTAGAGGCATCAAACTCACAGAGGACCTCCCTGGGATGCCCCTTTACTTGCTTTCCAAGTTTGGTAAGGATTGGCTTAGCGGGGCAAGTACTGTCCGCCTCCTCATCAGATGGGCAATCCTTCTCCTCGGGCCTGGGAGGTGATCACCCACCCACCTCCTCCTGGAGGATCCTAGGGTCCAAAGTGCAAAAGGGGGGGACCCAACAGGAGGTATGGTGCAGGAGGGGGGTGGGGTGTAGAAGTTGGAAAACCAAGATGAGGGGCAGGAACAGCAAGGCAATTGATATTAAGGACAGTGTGGGGGAGGGGGTTGTCCAGAGGTGTGGAAGTTGAGAATTCTAGGTTCCAAAGTGCAAAAGGGGGGATGTAACAGGAGGCCTAGTGCAGGGGGTTTTGAAAAGTAGGAAAATCAAGATGAGGGGGAACTACAGCAAGGACAGTTGATGATGTTAAGCCTGGTGGGGGGATGCCCAGAGGTGCAGAAGTTCAGGATCCTAGGGTCCAAAGTGCAAAAGAGAGAGCATCTAACAGGAAGCCTAGTGCAGGAGGGGGGTGGGGTGTAGAAGTTGGAAAACCGAGACAAGGGGTAGGCACAGGAAAGCAGCTGGTGATATTAAGCCTGGTGGGAGGTTGCCCAGAGGCATGGAAGTTGAGGGTCCTAGGGTCCAAAGTGCAAAAGGGAGATCTAAGAGGAGGTTTAGTGCGGTGTGTGTGTGGAAAGTTGGAAAACCAAGATGAGGGGCAGACACGGCAAGGACAGCTGATGATTTTAAGCCTGGTGGGGGGATGCCCAGAGGCACAGAAGTTCAGGATCTTATTTATTTATTTATTAGATTTCTACCCCGTCCACCCGCCGAAGCGGCTCAGGGTCCAAATCTTAGGGTCCAAAATGCAAAAGGGACGGGATCTAACAGGAGGCCTAGCACAGGAGGGGATGGAAAATTGGAAAATCGAGATGAGGGGCGGGCACAGCAAGGACATCTGATGATGTTAAGCCCAGCGGGGGAGGGGGGTGCCCAGAGGCACAGAAGTTGAGGATCCTAAGGTCCAAAGTGCAAAAGAGAGATCTAACAGGAGGTTTAGTGCAGGAGGGGGTGGTGGAAAGTTGGAAAACGAAGACAAGGGGCAGGCACAGCAAAGGCAACTGATGATGCTAAGCCAAGGTGATGCCCAGAGGCACAGAAGTCAAGGATCTGAGGGTCCAAAGGGCGGGGAGGGGAGAGAAATTGAGGGTTCAAAAATCCCACTGAGGGGGAGTGTGGGTCCTCAATCATGGAACCCACTGGCTGAGCCCCTTTGCCTGGCTTGAGCTGAAGGACAGGTGCCTCAGAGCTCTGAGTAAGTACCAAACACCCCCAACCAGAGTTCCCTCTAAGCTGTGCTTGGGGGTGCTGGTGCACAAAATTTTTCTCTAGTTCAGGGAGTTTAAGCTTCTGCATTTTTCACTCCATTGAAAACAATGGAGAATGGGGGCACCTCATTCTGGGGCCCATAGAATTGGATCCCTGGTCCAATCTTTTTAAAATGTGGAGGGTTTTTTTCCAGGAGATGCACCAGCAGCTATGCTGCAAATTTGGTGCCTCTACCTCAAAAAACAGCTCGCCCCCAGATCCCAAATACCCCCAGATCAATTCTCCATTATAGCCTATGGGGTCCATTGACAATAATGGTCCCCATTACCTATAATGGAGCCGGAAAAAATAGATATTTTTTTTGCACACCCGTTATGCTTTTCAGTATGATTTGAAAGCTGCCTTGAGTTACAGTAAAAGTGGGATGTAGATATTTGAATAAATAAGTAGTTTGGGCAGATTGATAACATTTAAGCAACTTCCTATATGTTAGGTTAGGCAGGGTTCTGACAGTGATTGTTCCACCTCTGTTATACTTGACTTGTAATTTGTCATATTTCACTAAAAAAATCCCCCACCAAAGTAGACTGCAGGAGTTCCCCCACCCCAAATGCTGGTATGTTTTCTAAGACTCAGCACAAGGCGACAGTCTGAGGCCAGGTCTACCAATATAGGGGACTGGGGCAGGTAGACCTCTGGAGGCCAGGTCTACCAATATAATGGAAAGGGGAGGGTAGACCTCTGGAGGCCTGATCTACCCCATAGAGGACAACATTTTTTGTAACGAAATTTGACTTCATTCTGTTTTCTCTTATAATGTTTAAATTATTCTTAAAATATAGTTTAGTTTAAAAGAATTCATTCTGAGATTTTTACAAGATTATGGAAATAATCTAAAAACTAATTTATGCGATAGTCAAATGTAGACTCACAACTTTAATGCTACTAGCTTTTTTTGCTCACAATTTTTGCTTACAACACTGTGGCGCTTAGAGGGAACATTGCTCCCAACCCCACTGTTTTCACACTGAGGAATGACTTCCAGTTCCCTTTCCTCTCTGCCTCTAACTCTCTCTCTGCCTAACTGCCTGCTGCAAGTAAAAACAGCTGCATGAGAGCTGGGGGTATACATCCATCCTGCTCCCATATAGCAGAATGGGAGCTCTCTTGTTGGCAGCCAGCACTGCCTGTCAAGCTTTGGAGGTCACTATTGGTGTTTCCAGGGCTGCAGCAGGGCTGCAGAAGTCCACCCCCCCATTTCTTTGACAATTAATTAATTAGCGCCAGTGTATCTGGCACACAAACTGCTGCACGAACCACACGAACCTCCATAAAAGCCATGAAGGTTTGTGGGAATTTCGTTGCAGACGCAATAGGACAATCTTTGGCTTATGAACCATGAACCAGATGATTTTCATGACAAATTTAGGTTTGTGATGAGGTTCATGCCCATCTCTACTCACATTTTCATTTTAATGCATTTGTGCAATTACTGGTACTTCCAATGCAGAAGCTGTTCTGTGAGCTCCAAAATTTCATTAGAACCGCCCCAATTTTATCGGCATTCATGGAAAAATGGTATCCAATCTTAGACTACCTGTCTCAACAGCAATTTGTATCCTCTCAGTGGTCCCAATTGCATAAATGGATCTGAAACAATGTTTATTTTTCTTTCGGTTACTCCTACTATCTTGGTTCTTTATCTTGGCTTTATCTCACCTCTAAACTGGTGATCTCAATGCTCAACTATGATATCACTTAATCAATAGATAGACATGACTGTTGCGAATAGGAAAGTCTGTGTTTAAAGTGTTAGGAAAGTGTTAATGACATGACAAAATCAGTTTTTAGTTTACAGTAACATGGTTGTTATATATTCGTATTGTTTGTACTTACACTTGTAAAAACTGTTATAAATCTGCACTATTAATATGAATGAAATTATAAATATATATATATATATTAAAAAATTATTCTGTGAAACAAAAACAAAAAAGAAAAGAACTAGCCCAATTTTTAAAGCCCTAGATAAGGTACAACAAATTGACTGGGGGATTGGCCTTGAACCAGTTGGAGAAACAGTTCAACTGCACTTTTCCCCTTACATTTATGGAATCTTTAAAAACATTTCCATTTACTTGTCATGAAGTTTGATAATGGAAGACCAATTTTCTCTTTGGAATAATTTATTTCCTGAAAACGCATCTAGAACACCACTAGGAAAACTAGCCTGGGTTTCTAACAGTACAAAGCAGGACTTATAATGGTATAATTCTGCTTAAAATGGGACTGTAAATGCAGCATACAAATCATGTCATCATCCTCAATGTGACAATTACCATTTTTTTCTTTAAAAAATGTAAGACATACCTGTTTTCTGACATGCACATTTCCTTCCACTGGTAGATTGTAAGCACTCCGTATCAGATTTTTAGCAATGAAATAATAGTAAACTGAAATAACAGAGAGAGGAATGATATAAAATATCAGAAAGGAAGCCATTGACTGAATTTTTGGATGCAGCTCATTGGTAAGTGGGTAAGGTGTACAACTAATGAATGTTTTATTAGTGCCCTTGTCATAGAAAGGGCGCAAGTCTGAAAACACAGCCTCAGGAATGGCCAGCAGCATGGATAAAATCCAGATCATGACAGCTTTCAAACAAATCTTCAGTAGAGCATGAGAGGCTTGGATGTCCATGGGTCTCACTATGGCTTTATACCTAAGGAGAAGATAAATAATTCTGTTACTAATCATACGGATAAATTTATTAGAACAAAATCCACTTGATTATCATCTCTTTATATGAAAAAAAAGTTTGGTCATGAATGCTTGTCATTCTCCTTCCTTCCCTTCTTGCCTTCTGTTAGTTATCATTACTTGCTAAAAGAAGTCTAGATTTCTTGTGGGAGGCACTTTATCACAAGATTCTGAACTGACAGGTGAAACAGTTGACTGAATGCTTTGTCATCTTTCTTTTACTCAGCTTCCTCTACATACATAATAGCTGGACCATTCAAGGATAACATACATGCCCTCTGAGAGAGAAAGCATACAACTGATGTGATAAAAACTGTTGATAATTGCAGGAGATTACCAAGCTCTAGTGCTTATTGTCACTAATGACTCACAGTCATCTGACTGGCCTATTGCATTGGAGACATTGAGGTCTCACCTATTACCAGGTTGGGGAAGTATTTTTTTTTTTAAGGTTTCTTATGGAGATCTTTATGTTTATTTGCTTGGACACATGAGTGTACTGGATTCTGTCTCAGTATATAGGTACTTCAGAAAATGTGGAGTCAATTACATCTTGGACTCTTGGACTCTACACAGGCCCCGGTCACACGTAAAGGTTTCGCCCAGGAGAGGGACGGATTGGGGGCGCAGCAAATGGGCGCGATCTCACCGCAACATCTGGGAAGCAGTGCGCACCCGTCGCCGATCCGTCCCAACCCCTGAAAAGGCGCAGCAAAAATACACCACCTACTGAGGTGGTTCTTCCAGCGCGGCCGCATCAAGGACGGCCGTGCGATCGCCGGCGCGTCCTTCTGCCGGCGCATCCCCGGCTCCTGGCTGAACTGTGCATGCTCAGACATGCGCAGTTCGGCAGTCTCCTGTTCCCCACCATCGCTTTCCCCAGCATCTGATCGTGCCGGGGAGGGAATGTGCCACGGCTCAGGGGATCAATGTGATCCCGCCACCGCGTGTTTCTTTTTGTGCGGCTCTGATTAGCCGCACTTTGGCCGGGTTTTTTTCTGCCGTGTGGCAGGGACCACAGATGCACAAATTATGCCAAATAAAGAAAAAGAACTTAAACTTAAAACCCCATGGAGATTCTTTTTTAAAAAAGCCTATGCCTGTCTTCTTTTCAGCAATAAGAAAACTAGACTATTAGAGATTCGGTTGCTCCACAAAGTTAAGCAGGGTCTGCCTTGGTTAGTATTTGGATGGGAGACCATCATGCAAGTTCAGGGTTGCCGTGCAAAGGCAAGCAATGACAAGCCACCACTGAACATTTCTGGCTTTGAAGCCCCTATGAGGTCACTGTAAATCGGCTGTAACTTAATAGCACTTTCCACCACCAAAAACATGGTTTGGATCACTTTTCAACCTGTGTGTCTGGCTCTTCTCAATTAGCTATAAACTGGACTCGAGTCCTAAATATGTCTCTGGCTTGTACTGATCTGAGTCAGTTTTTTTCCATTAAAAAAACACCTTGCATTTCATATGTTTTGGAATTCCTGTCTTCACAGTGTATGGTATCATCTGATACAGTGCTGAGTTGTTGACATTTTCCCAGTTGTTAATAAATGATAAAAAGCTCCAGCAAAGGTCATTTTCTGGCAGTACTGCTATAAACACCTGATGTTATCAGCTCTGTTCATTAAGCAGCCTGCTATTTTATTGTAAAATATGTCATAAATTGTATTTGCTATACAATTTTAAAATGGCTTATTTATGTCAAAACTAATTTGTGGTATCAAAAGACGTTTATGTGAAATAGACCTAACTAAATAAATCCTGAAGATATTCTCGAACCATAAATTCATCTGTCTTTTCTCTTGAAGGCTGCTATTTGATCATAATATTTGCCTCGATGCAAACAAAGATAAATTCTTCTCAATCAAAATAATCCCAGTGAGAGGATAGATGCTTAATCCTCTCCCATTGAAATCAGTGAGACTTACGAGGGCTTAACTTTGGCACAACAGTTTACACTTTAATGTGACACATAGACTTTAATGTTTAATATTAGAAAGCAAACTCCTGCTGGCTTTTAGCCTGAAGCCAGCCCCAGTGATTTTTTGAAAATGTAATTATTTTAGTCTCCACAAAACACTTTATGAAAATTCCCATACTAGACAGCATAACAATGTGATTGTTAAAAACAGAATAAATGATGTCCTGTTTATGCTATCTTGAAAACATTTTTCCAACCCTAACTTGCAATGTGTGAGCAATAGATCACTTAGGTACAAACATTCAGAATTACTGAAAGTGGTGCTTAGCTAGAGTACATAAATACAGTCCTGTATATCAAAGTGCTTTTAACAACACCATTTGGAGCAGACATTTGATCAGTTTACTTTGAAGACTGTATGCAAGGTGGAAACTCCAGTATATTATTTACCTTCGATATACTTAAATCTGGAGATTGGGGCCATAAACAGACAAGATGGATCTTTCTACAAACTTTTAAATATGACTCAGGTTTGCAGAAAAATCTTAAATCTTAAAAAAGAGGGGTTAACCTGTACCCCAGTAACAGAAACAGTGCCTGTATCTTTAAGAAACGAATGCCCTCAGTTGCCATTGCAGGCAATCACAACAGTATTGCCAGCCTTCAAGCCTTAGTTTCACTATCTTACACTGGCTCTTTTATCAATAGAAAAAATGGATAGGAAATATTAAAAAGCAACAGATCATTTGGACAATATAACCCAGTTTAGATTTTTATAAAATAATAGCATGACACGCTGTAACCCAAAAGCTGTTTCCTCTGAAGTAAATCTAACTGTATTCTGTAGGACAGACTCCCAAGCAAATTACTTAGATTCCAGGTGTGTAGCCCAATCCTGTTGTTCTGTATGCCATTGCCAGATACACCATGGTTGAGTCAGCTTAATGTAGAAAAAGAATTGGTTTTTATACCCTGCTGTTCTCTACTCTAAGGAGACTCAAAGCTGCTTATAATCACCTTCCCTTCCTCTCCCTACAACAGACACCCTGTGAGGTAGAGGGGGCTGAGAGAGTCCTGAGAGAACTGTAACTGGTCCAAGGTCACCCAGCAGACTTCACGAGGAGGAGTGGGGAATCAGACCCAGTTCTCCAGATTAGAGTCTGCTGCTCTTAACCACCACACCATGCTGGCTCTCCATGTAGGCATGCACTCCCAGATGCAAAGCTAAAAATACAAACATAGTACAGGAACAAGAGGCAACATGCTGCATTAACAGCTGCCTTTGCAGTATCCATATCAACTCTACCACCCTACACAATCCATGAAGTCACTTGCCAGTAATATTATGTATTATTTCATGGCAAGTATCAAAGCACAGTGATGGCAGAACCCTCTCATGATGTCATGATGTCCAGTATACACTCCCATCTCATTCAATACACAACCATACAGCTATTTACTTGTTTAGAAGATGTACATGCTGCTTCTTAGAGCCATGGCATCTCTCCCTTCCCAAGGCCCAAGGCCAGCACCCAAAGAAACAGGCTGTGAGCAACCTCTCCGTTTTCCACTAGGACCAGACCCCACAGCACTGATGTTCCAATCCAACCATCTTCCTCAGAAGGAGAAGACCAGTTTGCATTCCCCTGACCCCTCCAAGTGAAGACCTGGGTGAAGCGAAGGGAAGGGAATAAGCTTCCCTGTGTACAGCTGTCAAAGCCTTCATACAACACACATACAAAAAGAAAATGAAAATGGTAAAAAATGCCCGAGCTAGTTTGTTGTTGGGGAATTATGTTTAAGCCAGTTGCCGTGTGTGCATCTTCCACAACCATCCCCAAGGTTCAGTTGAACCAGTGCAAAAACTTGAAAGCATCAAAGTCTTCAGAAGAATTGATAGGAAAGATGCCAAACACTAACACAGACAGCATTGCAGCCATTTGGTAGTACAAGGAAGGGGCAAGGGCGTCTGATGGCATAAGGAGGGTAAGTCATCTGGGCAGGCAGGCAAGCAGCAGCAGGAGAACCTTGATGTAGATTTGCGTGGATGGAGGGGTAAGGTTTGGACAGTAGCAGGCAAGCAGGGGAGTGCAGACTGAAAGGCAAAATTTGGCAGAGCAGGGCTGGCAGAGGAAAGAGGAAGGCACAGTCCCACCTCATATTCTTCAGAGTTGGAATATCTCCCACATGTACATAATCCCAGTGGCTACAACTTGCAAGCTATCAAGAAAGCCCAGAGATTCTCCCCCCCCCCCAAGGAACACCATGCCCTCTCTTACTTACTAAGCAGCCCTTTTGTCGGCCAAACAAAATAGAACAGTAGCAGATACACATCTATCATGTAGAAAGTGGATGGTGATCGGTTTGATTTATGTTTCAAAAGGGGATCACAGGAGAGGTAAATTAAAACCTTTTTTTGCAGCTTACCTTCCTGTATCCTCCCCTCCCCAAGCCCTTTTGTCACAGCCCGAATCACTTCTAGTAATGGCACCCACCAAGAAAGAGCTAACTATTGGTTTTTCATTTTGCTCCTTAACTTTGAATATTCTTCCTCCACTCCTCAGCAGGTTAATGGATCCTATGAGATTCCAAGAAGTCTTGGGAAATTTTGAAAGAATTTGGAATTACAGGGTCTCCTAGACAATAGACATGTTCACCCCCATGTGCTCTCTACCACCTTGAAATGGAACTCCAGCCCCCTTGTTCATAGGGGAGTTGGATGCATTAAAAAGGGCTGGAAGACATCTAAAATGATGGTGGCAGAATTTATTTATTTATTTAAAAGTATACCCCATCTGTCCTCTTGATTCAAGAATTTGACAGAATAAGTCAGATATATTGCCCATTGGAGAGCCCATGAGATGGCAGTGATCATGGTGAAGACATCTTACTTCTCTGTTACCATTGTGTTGGACGAATCATGGCATCTGAACAGCAACTACAGGAGGTCACAGGGCAGCCTCAAGGATACATTGGGAGAATAGCCTGACCCCCTCCTGAGGGAACTCCTGTGAGAGATGGAGAACTCTACATGGCCT